TTAAAAAATTAAAAAATCGCCTTTAAAAAAAAAAACAATCTTTTTTTAAAAAAAATTTTTTTTTTTTTTTTTTTTTTTAAAAAAAATTTTTTGGGGAACATTTCAAAAAAAAAAAAAAAAAAAAAAAAAAAAAAAAAAAAAAAAAAAAAAATCACACTTCACATGAGAATGTTAGCTTTATAGTTACAGGTCTGTTTCCTTCTCATGACATTTTATGCAAACCACTGACCCAGGCACCTACACATCACGGCCATGCAGCTGTCTGCTGACATATATTCAGCCAACACGTACAGCAGCACCTCCAAACTCTTGCTATCACATCTCGGGAGAAACCAGTCTGTGCTATATACAACTTTTGTCATCCTTCAGTGTAATGGTATGTTATAATATTTTGTGAAAAACACCGAGACAGTGGAATGCTGATCTTATCTCATTTTGAGAAATGAGCACCTAGCCTCTGCTGCACAGTGTATGCCTTATCATATATATCACAAGAGGCTGTCCTTTCATCAAATTGTCTTCTGAGTCTGTACATGCATATGGGTGAAATAGAAAGGGAACAATCAGCCATATAAAGACGCCCTGATAAATGCTGCACTTTGTACATGACATTGTATAGTAGCAAATGTACCAAATATGTTCAAATAACATATTTTCCTAAATTATATAAACAATTTACATGCAATGCAAATATAACATCCAAATCATTCCTGAAAGATCAAACAACATCAAAGGTTTTGAAACAGGTATGAAAAAAAATAGAATTGTATTTGAACAAAAATTTGCCTTTGGCTGTTGGTTTTCACTTCCAAGGTGAAAGTATGGGTATATATTGACACAGTAAAGAATGATCTCAAGACAAATAAATCAAACATCCTTGGTAATTCACACTTTATCTAAACAGATTAACATAACACCTAGCCCAACAAATACTTTCAAATCCATCCCAAATCAAGTTAGCTGGAATACCACAACTTGAGCAGCCTGTTAAAGTCAGCTTCTGTAGCCATATAATTCAACTACATAGATATGGCCACAGGTCATGCTTATATATGCAGGACTCAGCAGACCATGAAAAACAACTTTCCCTTCAGACTTACCTGAAACTTTCAAAACTTTTCAAAACTTTGAAATTCTCTTACAAAGTTGTACAAAATCTGCTCTAAAAACAATGGAAGCAGTAATAGAATCTTTGGAAGCCTGGAGTTACATCACAGCTGTTTACTTTGGAGAAGCTACTTTCACACACACTTCCTCTCCTCCACTTGGGATAGCATACTGACACAGCAGGATGAGCAAGTGACCTTTGGTAGCTATGGTGACAGAGAGCATCAAGCCCAGTTACCAAGCAACAAGCTCATCAGCTGGTCTCATCTGCTGCACCCATTATACCCATCAATATGCTGTGTTACTCTAAATGGTCTGGCTTGGCCCCAATGTATTTGCAGTAAGGTTTATACAGGTGATCCCATACAGCCAAGACAGAAATTTGATTACTGCTGTAAATGTGAATGCAGCAAAAGTAAAGATTTCTCATCTGCTTTATTCTGTAGATTGTCTTCCATAATTTCTGACCTGACACAGAGGGATTATCTGTTCTCACATGTGATCAATGCACTGGGTAATTGTGTTGTTGCACACTTGAGTTGTAATAAGCCAAGGCTGGAATGGTGCCAACAGGGATGGAAAATAAATAACAGACACTGTATTTCACCACTAAAGAAAATGTGATGCATTTTGTTGTTTCGTCTCTTGCATGTTGTATTAATCAAATTTAAACTCCCATTGCAGAAAAAAAAATACTTTTTTTTTTTTGCTGTT